CAGCACAGCCTGCTGGTGTATCCACCACTCCTCCCAGTTTGGTGTCATCAGCAAACTGGCTGAGGGTACGCTCTAACTCTTCATCCAGGTCATTGATGAAGAAGTTAAACAAGACTGGGCCCAGTACTGACCCCTGAGGAACCCCACCAGTTACCATCCTCCAACCAGACTCAGCAGGGACAGGAGTTTGTCTCTGGGAATTAGCGTTGCGATGCAGTGATGCTTTACTGGGCGTTTGAGCGAACTCTCAGGCGAGCAGGGACCTTCCGTGCCCGCTGAGAAGACAGCTCGCCCTCGGAACCCGCAGTTCTCCTTTGGCTGTGTGTTATGCACTTCACATTACCCCCATTGAGTGTTTTTCTGAAAGTCTGAGTTGCTGCGGACTTTTCTCCTTGAAAAGTCTGAAAATCTTGTTGAAATTGACATTTTCCCATTAAAAAAAAACCCTTTAATTTTCCAGAAATCACTATAGCTTGTTGGAAGTTTTCCTCAGCTGAAAAATTTGGACCAGTGATGTGTTTAATACTCCCACGGTGTTTTTCAAACTCTGTCCGCGGACTCGTCACGGGATCTTCCCTCTCACCGGCTTTTTGTCTTGGTGTCCGTTTGTCTCTCCCTCCAGGGTGGCTGCTCTGGGCCTGGCCTCGGGCATCATCCTGGTCCTGCTGCTCTTCTGCCTGTACCGGGTCTTCTGCCCCAAGAACTACGGGCAGAACGGGCTCTCGCACAGCCGCAGGAAGAGGGGGGACCTGCCCTGCGACGATTACGGCTACTCCCCGCCCGAGACGGAGATCGTCCCCTTGGTGCTCAGGGGTCACCTCATGGTAGGTCGGACGGGGACGGTCCTCATGGGTGGCTTGAACTGTGCGTCTTTCGTTTTCTTTGGTTTATTTGAAGAAAAGCACTCGGGAGGGCAGGGCAGCTGTGCAGCCTCGGCGTAGGGCAGCTGTGGAGGCCAACAGCTGGGGCCAGTGCTGCTTGTGTGCATCACAGAATCCCAGAATGAATCCCAGCACGGCAGGGGTTGGCAGGGCCCTCTGGGGATCCCCCAGCCCAACCCCCTGCCCAAGCAGGGTCACCCAGAGCAGGCTGCACAGCACCGCGGCCAGGCGGGGCTGGAATATCTCCAGAGAAGGAGACTCCCCAGCCCCTCTGGGCAGCCTGGGCCAGGGCTCCGTCACCCTCAGAGGGAAGAAGTTCTTCCTCGGGTTCAGCTGGAGCTTCCTCTGCTCCAGTTTGTGCCCGTTGCCCCTTGTCCTGTCGCTGGGCACCACTGGAAAGAGTCTGGCACCGTCCTCTTGACATCCACCCTTGAGATATTTATAAACATTTCGAAGGTCCCGTCTCAGCCTTCTCTTCTCCAGGCTGAACAAGCCCAGCTCCTTCAGCCTCTCCTCCTAGGAGAGATGCTCCAGTCCCCTCCTCATCCTCGGAGCCCTGCGCTGGGCTCTCTCCAGTAGCTCCTCATCTTTCTTGAAGTG